CCCCCCCCCCCCCCTTCAGCACTCTCTTACTATACCTAAGAAATACTATTTAATGTCATGTTTTTGATGGTATAATTAAGTGCCTTTCAATCACCTTTGAGTTTGTGGGTTCAATTGAGCCTCAATTCTTGCTACAAACTTGTGTGAAAAGAGTCAGTCAGCACTCTGCTGAAAGTCGTGGGTTTTCTCCAGGTGCTCCAATTTCCTCCCACAGGGAAAGTTGACAGGGTGGGTTAGGTAAACATAGTTTAATAAGAAAGTAGTATCACAAGTGTTGTAAAGATAATGAGTCTAGGCTAATTAAGTAATATAAGTATAGCTGTAAGCGTAAATCTTGATGCAATTGGTCGACCAAAAAGCACAATTAGAGAGTGAGGTAAAAATGTATGCATGAGTATGTATGTACCTCAATACCACCCTCATTGAGAGGACATAATAAAAGAGGCTTCCTGTCTCGATACAAGTGAACGAACTGCCGTCGAAAGTTTTCACAACACGACAGAATAAGATTCTCTTTATCTGTGTTTGTCTTGTACGTTTCGGGCAAGTTCTCCTCCTTTGGCATCCTGTACCAAACAAACCAACACACAAATTTGTGACACAATATTCATACACCAAATTTTCAAAGCAAAACGAACAAAAATGTCAAAAATTCAAACAAATTTAAATAAATATACTTACGGCAGTTCAATGGCCGGTGGAGTGACTGTAATACTGTCTAGTTTTGCTTTTAATGATTCTAGCTCATCCATTTTAAGAAATGAAATAGATTTACATGATTTTTGGAAGAAAAACACAATTTTCTGCTATTTTGTGGCAGCCATATTGAATTAGCTCCATAGCAACGAGACGCTCAATCGTCAATCGGAAACTGTCGGATAATCGTCAGTAGCTGCCGATGACTGATCTATAATTGACTGGACTAACATTGAGATCAGAGTAAAACTCTATTAAACGAACCCGCTTTGAAATGGCTTGCGCAAAAAAAAGGATGGCTTAAAATGACATTTGAATTCATAGGGTGTAAAGTTAGAAGATGTTTTATGAACTATCAAAGCACCAAACAATTTGATGTACATTAAGACCAACGCGCGACCTCTAAAACTTGGACTTTTTTGCCATAGTAGCCTCTGACGTATAAATTCTTAACTTTTTGTAAAGATTAGTAGATTACTGTAAGAAACCAATCATGCATAAAATCAGTCATGTAATTTATCAGTCATGTAATTTATCACACGCAGTTTTTATATATAATCCTGTAGTTTATAGTAACAAATATATACAGTAAACTCTTTTGTTCTTCCATTTCAAAGGCTCAATTTAGTCACTGGGCAACGTCCGCGACAGACGACAGGTTTCGGTAAACTGCGGTACGGGACCAATCATGACTTTGCCAAGGCAGCCGCAGCCAAGGACAGAAGGAGCTACCACGGAATGTTATCTTCCAGCTTTTGTTAGACAGATGATGCGACAATTTCATTCACGTTCTTTGGGCAGACGTTTGCGTTGTTTCATCGCATTTTTCTTCCTCTTTTTATTCATATATTGATCAAGTTTTTTCGATCCCTTCAAAGTCTTATACTTCTCAGCTAATTCTAGTTTCTTTCTTTCCGCTAAAATAAATCGTAATGGAAATAATTTAACAACGGCCAGGGGTATTTATTATGGCCATAAATCACGCCCATGACTATTTATTCTAATTTACATATCACGGTTGAAATATGGCTTCAACTGTGAACTGTGAATTATATAACGCGACGTTGTTTATCGCTAAATCTGAGAATAAAGTAAGTCGTTTGCAACTTGCCTCAATCGCTGGCCGAAAAACAAAGTGTGTCGAAGTATTTAATGTAATGCTGGCCTGATTTCAGTTACTGCCTATTCTGCATTTTCAATATTTGTACAGAGGTTAGTTTTTACGACATTTCTCTATTTAACTCTACATAAGAATACAGCATTTCTGCCACTAGGAACAAACGAAAATGCAGAATAGGCAGTAACTTACACCAGGCAAACGAAACAGCCAATAAAAGTATGTTAAAAGATGCTTACATTTCTTTAAATAAAATGGTCGTTTTCCTTGCTTTATCAAAGATAGTTCTTTCTGGCTTCTTTCTTTCTGTTTTTCTTTTCGTATTTTCTTGAGATTTCTCGACTTTTCTGCTTGCTCCTAAATTTATGAAGAAAGAGTTCAGTAATACAGCACAACAGAAACAACAACAACAACAACAATAGCAACAACAAAAATAACTATTTTACCATTCTCTTGTGCAATGAATGCAGTTTTGTTTTCTGATTTGGGTCCTTCTCCCTGGTAATGGCTTTCTTCACTTGCTAAAAATAATCGCGTACAAACTGTTACTTTAAGGGCTGAGAAAAACCCTTAGGATATTGGCTAAATGCCTCACAGTATCAAACGATCTATTCTCTATATTATTCACCTCTTTTTCTTGGCTTCTTATATCATCCAAAAATGAGTAAGCTTTTTCAAACATGTTTTCATTAAATTTTCCAGAGAGATTGTCAAATCTAGGATCCCTGGACACCTAAATAGAAAAATATACTGTTAGTAGAAACTACAAATTTATTGTCCCAACATGAGAGATAAACACAGGATATTTTAAATAACCTTTTTTGTGACAGGCACAACTTGTTTAAACTTTGACACAGGTCTCTTTGATGACATTTCACGAGGTCTAAGATATAATATAAGATTTACTAATTAAGTTAATGATAAAAATAAGCACTAATCTCAAAGAAATCCAAAGCAAATCCTATATGAAGGGTAATAAGCTATCATTACATGGAGAATTGACAAGAATTGAGCAAATCTCAAATTTATAGAGCTAACAAGTTCTACCAAGCTATTTCTAATGAACACTAATTGTCAATTTTTTAACAAGCACTAACAAGCAACTCTCAAATAAGAACTAATGAGAAACTCAATTATTTAATTAGCATGAACAACTAACTCTTAAACGGAGCACTAATTGACAACTCTTAAATTAATACTATTTAACAAGCAACATTTGTAATAATCACAGTGAACAATAATAATAATCAATTCTGTAATGAGCACTAATGAGCAATTCTCAAATTAGAACTGTCAAGTACTCTTCATTGGGCACTAATTGACAACTCCTAAATGGGTGCTAATGAGAAATTCTCAAATGAGGACCAACTAGCAACTAACGAGCAAAAAATGAGGGCTAACGAGCAACAAATGAGGACTAACGAGCAACAAGTGAGGACTAACGAGCAACAAATGAGGACTAACGAGCAACTAACGAGCAACAAATGGGGACTAACAAGCAAAAAATGAGGACCAACTAGCAACTAACGAGCAAAAAATGAGGGCTAACGAGCAACAAATGAGGACTAACGAGCAACAAATGAGGACTAACGAGCAACTAACGAGCAACAAATGGGGACTAACAAGCAAAAAATGAGGACTAACAAGCAACTAACGAGTAACTACAGTAACAAGACAAGCAAACATGAAGACCTGTTTTTGTTCTTTCTTTTCAGTGTTGATTCATTTCTATTCTTCACAGTATTTGAAGAGCCATGCAGAGCAGCATTAAACCTAAACAATATGTTTACAAAAGTAAGATAGATCTATTTATCCCATAATTCCCATACTATAGAAAATATTGGGATGAAGTCCTTATTACAGTATTTGTCCTTACTTTTTCACCCCAATTTTATCTTTCAGAGCTTGGAGTTCACAAAATGGAATGGTTGAAAGTTCTGTAAAAGACAAAACTAAAACTTTATAATAATGTTCTTCCTTCAAATATCAACTGCTCAATGTAGCTGTTTGAGCTACGTTGTGTTATTTTATACTGCATGGTATAAACTACTAAAAGCAACATACCAGATTTTAACTTTGTCTATAAAAGGGGAAAAAAACAATGTTAAGGTTATAAAGAGGTCTATTTAGCATCAATTGAAGCTCACTAAATTCCCGACGCTCGAAACGTCGAAGTTCTCCTTGTAAGTTGTATTTTGCCTACTTTTCAGGTAGTGTATGAGTGTATCCATTTGGCATTTATAAATCCCACTTTTATTTATACTGTACAACTTTAATTCATGAATTTCACTATCCCAGGACAAAAATAAAACCGACTATTAAAGAAAACGGCATTTCTATAAACTATACAGCGCTAATATCTATTTGGGGGTCGTATACACTCGCTGTGGCTCGTGTATTTCACAAGCTAGGGTTATTTTGCATGCCTTTTTCTCGCTCAAAAAAGCATGGTACAAGAATTTCATACTTACAATTTCTTCATCATCAGAATCACTATCAAAATCATCTTCATTTGGGCTCCTATCTTGGAAAACCGTCCCGCTAGAATCCATTAAATGTTCGTCTTTTTGCCCTCCAGAGGTCGCCATCTTGCTTTTTCACTCGACACCAATCCTCCCATCTCCCGCCTCTTTCAAGATGGCGGAGAGTTTACCAAAATTTCGTCGCGAATTCAAACGTTATAAACAGCGTAAACCACCTCCAGATTTTTCAGATGTGATTGATTTTGAACAGGAGGATTCTTGGAAAGCACGGGTACCGTTTTTTGTGTAGTTTCTTGCAGTTTTAAAACGCCGAATAGATCATTGTGATTACGGCAAAATAAGCCAACTATGATGACGTCACAAAATGTGCAATATAGCGGAATGGGCGAAAACTAAAGTACTGCAGGAGATGAATGTAGGCGTAATTTGAATTTGAGTGTATATATATTTAAAAGAAATGAATAAATTCAGAACTGTTTTTGTATGTTCTTCCTTCATATATAAAGTCCAAATTAAAAGAGACCGCGATCATTAATATTTATAGCGGGGGGTTACACCAAAGAGAAATGTTTTTCTTGCCAAAAATGTTGCCGATCCAACCATTAAAAAGTCAAAAAAAATTTTACCCAACCTCGAATATCAATTAAAGGGGAAGTCAAGTCCGTAATGTAAACAAACGGTTTGTTTACATTTTGAACTGCTGTATTTTTTAAAATATGATGTACTGTCTGAATATCTAACACCATTTTGGTTCGTTATGCTTCTACATGAATATGAAATAGAGTTTGTGTTCAGAAAAATTCGAAACATTCAAAATTTGGGCAATGTTTACCTCAGAGGGCCCTCTATTGTTATGCGCAGAACCGATGCGCAGAACGGACTTGACTTCCCCTTTAAGAAATAAATACCCACCTCTGGCCAAAACCTTTACGAAAGGTACCATTCAATTGCCACACATGCCCTTTACCACTTCTGTGACTGAGTTTGATAACTTCTTGTGCAATTTTCTGCAGTCTAAAGTTTCATGTTGTTTTGCACCTGTACTTTCTTTGGAGACACCATTTGCCTCCTGACAAATCGGAAAATGATCAAGATAATGACTCTCATTGATTTACATATTGATTATTGTATTGACATATGTAAAAAAAAATCGCGCAAAAATTGAACGAAGTTTGAAAGCCTGGGCAACATGTTTAACATGGTAAAAAGGTTTGAAAGTGATCTCCGTTTGGGGATCATGGATCAGTTTGTCAGAAATGACCTCGTCATCGCTCGATTTATCACGTTCTACCGTTTTATTACAAGGTGAAGGAATGTAGCTGTGCTTTACTAGAGGACGATACTAAATTTGATACTCTGCAACTTGAATTGGATAATCAAGAAACTTGGAAATGTTATGAAATAGAGGAATACAAAGGTGCTCAATGCTTTGTTCAAATAACATTTTCTCACTCTGATAACTATAGGTTGACCCCCACCTGCTGCACGATAGTGCTTGGTAAACCCAACCATAGAGCTTATTGTTAATTAATATTCCTTTAAGGTTTCAAAATAATTGTGAATCCATTTACTCCTACTGGCCAACGGCAATGGATCAAAAAGTGCGTCGAGACTTATCCTGGAAAACCCAACGTGTGTAACTTGGACGCGCATGTCGAAAGAAAAGATCAAAATTTGTGGAAACTTTACGAAGAACAGTGTTTAAAGTGAGGTTCATGATAAATCTTTTAATAAGTATGGCTTAACATTAGCAATTTACATTTGAAACGTTGTGGTCCAGTGTAGGTAGTACTCTACAATAAGCTGTCGTGGTTTGTGTCTGAACTACCTGAAAAAGATATCTCAAACGTGGTGGTCCAGTGTAGGTAGACTAGTATTCTACAATAAGCTGTCGTGGTTTGTGTCTGAACTACCTGAAAAAGATATCTCAAACGTGGTGGTCCAGTGTAGGTAGTATTCTACAATAAGCTGTCGTGGTTTGTGTCTGAACTACCTGAAAAAGATATTTCAAGGTAGTTTAGCTACAAACCAAGGCAGCTTATTGTAGAATACTACCTACACTGGACCACCACATTTGAGACATCAGTTTTGGTCTGTTAGTTTAGATAAATGTACCGCTCAACCGAATTCTAAACCGTCGAAAACACTGATGGATCAGTTAAGATGGGTGACTCTAGGATATCATTATAACTGGGACACAAAGGTAAGTCTAAGTATTATTAACAGCACTGCCAATGCAGTTATGACCAACCGAGTTCACTCGTTCCTCTACTTTCTTAGAAATATTGCCAGGAAAATTTTACTGCATTTCCTTGTGATCTTGGTGAGTTGTCCAAATGTATCGCACGAGCTATGGGTTATCCCAGGTAAGAATAAACAAAATTCTGAGATTGAGTCAAGAATTCGCGTGTGTTACAAAGCAAAAAGTTATTGACTAAATATCGTGGTTTATGTATATAGTTTTATACCAGAGGCAGCCATCATCAATTACTATCACATGGACTCAACCCTCTCTGGACACACTGATCATTCAGAGCTGGACCTCACTGCTCCACTCTTCTCAATTAGGTAACTGAACTTTTATTTTCTTTTTATAACGACCACAATGGATTTGTTACCTTACATAACGCATATGCCTAGTTACAACTGTTTTGATAAGGGCCAGGTCATTATTTATAGCGGGGGTGGTACCCAAAAGAAATGTTTTTCTTGGAAAAAATGTTGCTGATTCAAACATTAAAAAGTCAAAAAAATATTTTACCCAACCTCAAATATCATTTAAAAAATAAATACCCCTGGCCAAAAACTTTACAAAAGGATACCATTCAGTTTGTCACACATGTCCCTTACCACTTCTGTGACACGAGTTTGATAACTGCTTGTGTAATTTTCTGCAGTCTAAAGTTTCATGTTGTCTGCACATGTACTTTCTTTGACTTTGGAAACACCATTTGCCTCCTGACAAATCGGAAAATGATCAAGATAATGACTCTGATTGATTTACATATTGTATTGACATATGACTGTTGACATTGCTTTTTAGTCTTCAATATTTGAGTGAGTCATGCTTTGGAAATTACAATACATTTTTATTACCCAACCCTTGAGTTGTTTTGTTTTTCATTTACCCAACCTTTTACTCACTCAAAATTTTGTTTATCCAACCCTTTTCTCTTCGGTGCCACCCCCCCGCCACAAATAATGACCAGTTCTTAACGGACAAATGTTATATTTGACATACTGTTATATGTAAATTGTTATATTTTCAAATATTTTAGTTTTGGTCAGACATGTATATTTCTGCTTGGTGGTCAGACGTTGGATGAGCCGCCCTGTGCGATGTATTTACGCAGTGGTGATATTATCATGATGTCACGTGACGCCAGGTTAGCCTATCACGCTGTACCCAGGATATTACGTCACCAAGAACTTGCTACATTACTAACACACGACAGTGAACGAGATATATCATCTGAACGAAGACGAAGTTTACAGTGTCTTGAGAAATATCTTAGTAATTCTAGAATTAATGTAAATATCAGACAGGTCGAAGGCCCGTCAGGAAGCTTTGCTAGTCAAGTCAAGTAGTTATTATGTGTGAGTTTCATCAAGCCTTAGCGTCTTTAGTGCACTGAGAATCTTAATACTACTTTTTGGAATGTAACGTAAAGCTAATTTGGATAACATGCTTCTCAAATTCATTAATAATTCATGAGCAATTCAGCCATGATAATCATATATTTCATCACAAGATGCCATTTGGATAACCCGGTGAAACTTGATGAAAGTCACTAGTGTTTTCATCAAATATCTTAATTACGCATGCAAAATTACTTGAATAGAATTGCTAATTACGTTATGCTTGGTTAAGAATTCTATTCAAATCAGCAAACGAAAACATTCTGTTATGTCCAGTGGCGGCGGAACAGATTTCATTTTGGGGGGGCTAATTTTTTTTCCGTTACCCCCTCCCCCCCGTCGCCAAAAAAATTTCGGTCAGTGTACCATTTTAGGGGTACAAAAATTTTTCCGGACATATACAAGAAAAGGGATGAAAAATTTTTTTCCCGACCTATAACAAAAAATTTTTCCGGACACACAATTTTCAAACAAAATATTGCAAATTTTTCCCCTTATACCTAAATTTTCAAAAAATACACTAAATTTTTCCTTAATTATCAAAATTTTTCCAGAAAAAACAAAATTTTCTGGGGGGGCAGTTTTACTTCTGGGGGGGCTTTAGCCCCCCTAGCCCCCCTGTTCCGCCGCCCCTGGTTATGTCTCGATTCATTTGAGAAGCCATATAAACAACTCGAGCTCGTGTCTCACCGGGATATCCAAACACTCGAAAACAATGTATGAAAACACTCGCGCTTCACGATCGTGTTTTCATACATTGTTTTCTCGTGTTTGGATATCCCGGTGAAACACTCGCTCTCGTTGTTCATATATTACACCAAGGGTCTGATCCTAAGCGGTAAATACAGATGCAAAAATGCCACTACTAGGGGGGCACTATCAGGGGATCCATGCTCTCCCAGAATATTTTGAAAATCAGGTGTCTCAGATTGGCTAAAAATGCATGTGCTATACAACATTTGTTACATCATTCTTATAGTCTATACATTTACACACTATCGCACTATTAAGATGGATGCACTCATAATTGCATTTCTGAGCTCATTCCTACAGTACAGGTAACACTCTTTGTATTGGTTAGAATTTTTCCTCTGAATTTCTCCTTTTATCTAAATTATTACAATTGTCTTTTTTTTTCTTTCTTGGGAAAATATGATAAATATTTTTTAAGAACTCAAAAAACGGCCCATGGGGCGATACTTTTCCACCCCTGCAGAATAAATCATGTTTTATATCGAAGTTCATAATGATGTTGCATTCAGCTTTTTCGTTCACAACGTATTAAAATATTTTCATTCGTGAACAAAGCTTTATCATCTAATCTTTATTGTTTGTTTTAAACAAAACTAATATAAGCTCAATGTCTTTGCAATTTCTGCTATAAAGTGCGTATATATAAGTAATGTAAGATTTCATCCGTAGATTATATGCGCCACAATACGTGCAACACTAAAGAAACTTGACTGTTCTATAAGTATGAATCCTTAATGACGTATGCATGAAAAAATAAAACTGTTCCTCAATGTTGTTGCCAAGATCCTACATTTTTTAGTTTTGACGAACAGTATTTATAAGCTTATTGTCTGAATTATTTCGTTGGCTAAGGAATTATCTATATTGTGCCTAAGCTTGGCTTTGATTTTCAGACTGTTTTGCCCGTAAGGGCAAACATATAATCTAATTTAGATAACATGTATCAATCTATCGAGATCATTTTTCCACCCATAAATACCGATACATTTTAGCAAACGGATGACCCGATTCGTCTTTTCCTTCAGCTTTCAATCCTGCGAGATACGCTTCACGTTGTAGATCCTCGATATCTGGCCGGGCCTCAACTTGGGGAGGTTCTTGCGTTGACCTCAAATCTAACTGGATGTGTGACTCAAAGTTCACAGATTCATCAAAACTATCCTGGGTACAAAGTCCATGAGGGTTAAAACCTATGACGTCATGAAACGGTGTGACGCCATCAAACTGTATGACGTCACCTGTGACGACGTCATCACCCGGACTGTGTGATGCCATTAACAATGATTGGCTAGTAAACTTGTTGTCATGGATATCAGAGCATGACGAATGCATATTTTCGACGTCAGCATTCTCTTGGTCCTCTTTCATTTGTTTTAAGATGTCGTATTCAACGTCGCGTCTTTTTAAGCCGGACATAGCACGAAGTTCGTTCGTGTGTTTTTGATAAAGTTCTTTCTTTAAAGAGGATATTCGCGTGCAGAATGATTCCAATATTTCGCCAGTGGCCTTCGGGATGTTCTTGACGTTAACTGTGTTACAATATACAGGAAAGAATTAGTATTTTGATCTAGTGTGATATGGTATGCTATGGTATGGTATGGTATGGTATGCTATGCTATGCTATGGTATGGTATGGTATGGTATGGTATGGTATGCTATGCTATGCTATGCTATGGTATGGTATGGTACAGTAAAACCCCGCGCGCATATGAGAACCTAGATTTTCCAAGTTAGCCTAAACAGGTTCTTATGTAAATGATGCTTACCAGGAAATTAGGCTAAACAGGTTCTTAAATAGGTTCCTATTTTCGTGTAAGAGAAAACTCATTTTGAGGAGGTATGGTATATGATTTATATAAATTATGCACAAATGATCTAAAAAATGACAGAAAATGATTGTAACTTATGACTTAAATGGAAAATTGTAACTTCTGACTTAATTTTGACTCTGTTTGATAGGAATCTGTTTTGAAATTCTAGCCTGAACTGGTTCTTATTTAAAGGGGTCTAAATAAAATATTTTAGCCTAAAAGGTTCTTAATAGATTCTTATATATGCGGGGTTTCACTGTATGGTACGCTATGGTATATGGTATGGTATGGTATGGTATGGTATCAGAGTTGTTGCAAGGTTGTTCCAACAAGTCCGATATAGTCATGAAATAAGAATATTGTTACAGCCTGTGTCGTCAACCTTGTAACATTCTTGTTATATCATAACTACTTGTGCGTTCTTACTTGTGTAGTCTTGTATTTTATGGCTAATAAATTAGAGATGCAGTTTTCTTGGCCGCACAAGTGTCAACATTGCTTGACCACCGTCTGCTGTCAGGCAACGCTTACCCAGTAATATCATGAAACAACTCACCCTCAGTTTCATCTCGAACTTTGTTACGTAAGCGTTTTCTAAAGTAGAAATGTAGACAGACACCAACAAGAATTGATGTCACGAAGAGAATTAGAGTAAAAGTCATGCTTTTCACAAACAGGGGTGATTTTGGATTGAATAGATTCGTTGACTGTGCTTCTGCTGCACTTTTAGGATTTTTCTAAAAAGCGAAATAGAAAATAAACAATATTCAATACTGCAAGAATAAAGATAAACGAAAATATAAACAAACAAACAGGACTATAAACTAACTTTATTTACACTGGATAGCTCTATCAGTTCTAAACTGTTCTTCCAGTAAGAATCATCTCTTATTGATCCAGTGTTACTACAGGAGGAAACCTAAACTAAACGAACTTTATTTATACTGGATAGCTCTATCAGTTCTAAACTGTTCTTCCTAGAGGTCCAGTAACGATCATCTCTTATTGATCCAATGTTACTACAGGAGGAAACCTAAACTAAACTAACTTTATTTATACTGGATAGCTCTATCAGTTCTAAACTGTTCTTGCTAGAGGTCCAGTAAGGATAATCTCTTATTGATCTAGTGTTACTACAGGAGGAAACCTAAACTAAACCAACTTTATTTATACTGGATAGCTCTATCAGTTCTAAACTGTTCTTCCTAGAGATCCAGTAAGAATCATCTCTTATTGATTCAGTGTTACTACAAGAGGAAACCTAAACTAAATTAACTTTATTTATACTAGATAGCTCTATCAGTTCTAAACTGTTCTCCCTAGAGGTCCAGTAAGAACCTTTCATTATTGAATCAAATCTTGACTACTGGAGCAGGCAACATGCTTTTCTCGGAGTTTGACAAAAACTGACCTTGACTGTTTTAATTTGTGAAGCAACATAATCAACAATAAAGCTTCGTTTTCGTTTTACATAATTTTGAAAGCATCCCTGCAATCGATGATGTATGCCTCCCAGTACTATACCATAACCGGTATTATAATCAATAATTTCTCTCACACGAATATGTTCTTCTTCAAACAATTCATTGTAACTTCCCGCCTGGTAACCATCTAACAAAGCTCCTTTCACTTTCCGCTCTCGTAAGTCGTGCTGTAGTTCGTACACATCATGGTAATTTTTATCTGGGGGAAAAATAAGGAATTTTTGATAAGGTGGACAAACCAGGAAACATTGTTTCCTAGCCATGTTTCCCGAAGGTGGACAAACCAGGGAAAATTGTTTTCTAGCCATGTTTCCTGAAGGTTTTACAACAACAGCAGTAGCTGCAGCAGCAGTAGCTGCAGCAGCAACAGCAACAGCAACAGCAACAGCAGCAACAACAACAACAACAACAACAACAACAACGACAATGACAATGACAGCGACAGCGACAGCGACAACGACAACGACAGCAGCAGCAGCAGCAACAACAACAACAACAACAACAACAGCAACAACAACAACAACAACAACAACAACAACAACAATTGCAGCAACAACAACAGCAGCAACAGCAGCAGCAACAACAACAACAACAACAACAACAACAACAACAACAACAACAACAACAACAACAACAACAACAACAACAACAACAACAGCAACAGCAACAGCAACAACTTCACATTCTGCATACCAACCTTGGTTAACCTTGGCGTTTCTACGTATTCCAACGCGGTAGGACGGAGAACCATGGATTGCTGCAACCTTTGTTCCATACAATTGAATACTTTTCGAAGCAAACGTGACAGTAGTTAGCGCATTAGTAATGCTTCCCATTAATATTGAAAATAATACGAGACCAGCGAGCACCCAGAATATTGAAAATATTCTGGCAAGAAATGATTGGGGACTGCGATCACCGTACCTACAAAGAACAGGTTCGAATCAACGTTAAACAAGATCGTAGCGTTATAAGCAAGTTTCATTATCGTGCAGCAGATGGTGTTCAACCTGCAGTTATCAGAGTGAGAAAATAATGTTCATTCTTTTCATTATATGTAGTATAGTCTTGTATTTGGTGGCAAACAGGGCAGGTAAAAAGATTTTTCTTCATGGGAGCACAACCTGCAGACAATAATTTCCTGCAGACCAACGGAGCATTTTTGTGCTAAATCTGCATATGCATAAACATATAGCGTTCTAGTTGACCATGGTTTTAAATTCAAGGAAAATGTCTGTCAACCATATGTCGTTGCGCCCATAGTGGGTCATGGGTGTTAAGGTTTCCTTCAAATTTTCAATAGCAAATCTTCATTCAAACAAATTTCCTGCAGCTGTTTAACATTTCCTCCCGCTGGTGGTAAATAAATAGAATTTAGAAATACAATTTAATGTTATGGTTTAACCAGCATCTGAAATTTGAAACAATATTAAGCATGTAAAATGCTGACGTACCCAACTGTTGTCATGGAGATAAAAGCCCACCAGAAACCTTCACCACTTCCGGTAAAGAATCTCCTTGTAAACTCTAATTCATTTGTACCAGCATCCTAGAAACATGACAAAAAAGATCAGCAATCCTTCACTAACTTACAATGGACCAATAAAGGACGTCTATTACTGGAGACAGCTTTGAACTGATAGAACATATTTGAACTATAAATTTGAACTATAAAGTTAGTTTAGTTTAGGTTTCCTCCTGTAATAACACTGGATCAATAAGAGATAATCCTTTTTGGACCTCTAGGAAAAACAGTTTAGAACTGATAGAGCTATCCAGTATAACTAAAGTTAGTTTAGTTTAGGTTTCCTCCTGTAGTAACACTGGATCAATAAGAGATGATCCTTACTGGACCTCTAGGAAGAACAGTTTAGAACTGATAGAGCTATCCAGTATAAATAAAGTTGGTTTAGTTTAGGTTTCCTCCTGTAGTAACACTGGATCAATAAGAGATGATTCTTTCTGTGTCTCTAGGAAGAACAGTTTAGAACTGATATAGAGCTATCCAGTATAAATAAAGTTAGTTTAGTTTAGGTTTCCTCCTGTAGTAACACTGGATCAATAAGAGATGATCTTTACTGGACCTCTAGGAAGAACAGTTTAGAACTGATAGTGATATCCAGTATAAATAAAGTTAGTTTAGTTTAGGTTTCCTCCTGTAGTAACACTGGATCAATAAGAGATGATCCTTACTGGACCTCTAGGAAGAACAGTTTAGAACTGATAGAGCTATCCAGTATAAATAAAATTAGTTTAGTTTAGGTTTCCTCCTGTAGTAACACTGGATCAATAAGAGATGATCTTTACTGTACCTCTAGGAAGAACAGTTTAGAACTGATACAGCTGTTCAGTATAAATAAAGTTAGTTTTGTTTAGATTTCCTCCTGTAGTAACACTGGATCAATAAGAGATGACCCTTACTGGATCTCTAGGAAGAACAGTTTAGAACTGATAGAGCTATCCAGTATAAATAAAGTTAGTTTAGTTTAGGTTTCCTCCTGTAGTAACACTGGATCAATAAGAGATGATTCTTTCTGTGTCTCTAGGAAGAACAGTTTAGAACTGATATAGAGCTATCCAGTATAAATAAAGTTAGTTTAGTTTAGGTTTCCTCCTGTAGTAACACTGGATCAATAAGAGATGATTCTTTCTGTGTCTTTAGGAAGAACAGTTTAGAACTGATATAGAGCTATCCAGGATAAATAAAGTTAGTTAAAGTGTAGTATAAATGAACAGGTTTCCGTACCAAGATCCACATGATAATTCCAGCAATAGAAGAGAATATTACAACAATCAAGAGCATTCCCCAGTTACCATTGACAGTTTCCAATATCGCGTTCGGCATCTTATCCGGGGGGTCGTCCACTATGAAGAAAGCCACACCAGGACTTGCAATCGCATAGACATATGAATAAAACGTGGCATACTTCTCCTGCAAGCTATGGCCTTGCACTGGAAAACTAAAATCAGTGTCTTCATTTAAAATCGAAGAGAAATCGGAAATTTCATCTTTGTATCCATCGCCACCATAGCCATCTGTCTTGTACAGTATCTCTGACCACCCGTGGCGGTTTACACAATTTCCACAACATTCCTTGACCAAGTTATTTAGTAACCATGGAAAAATACCAGTCTCTTGGTCACCAGTGCGGTTTGTGTATGGTGGTACCATGTACCAATTTGTTGTAAGGTATTTTTCACATGGGCACGTTTCTGAAAGATTTGATACATTTGGTTAGTGTATCTGTCTTTCGCATAAATAAAGTTAGTTTAGTTTAGGTTTCCTCCTGTAGTAACATTGGATCAATAAAAGATGATCCTTACTGGATCCCTAGGGAGAACAGTTTAGAACTGATAGAGCTATCCAGTATAAATAAAGTTAGTTTTGTTTAGGTTTCCTCCCGTAGTAACATTGGATCAATAAGAGAAGACCCTTACTGGACCTCTGGGAAGAACAGTTTAGAACTGATAGAGCTATCCAGTATAAATAAAGTTAGTTCAGTTGAGGTTTCCTCCTGTAGTAACACTGGATCAATAAGAGATGATCCTTACTCTGGACCTCTAGGAAGAACAGTTTAGAACTGATAGAGGTATCCAGTATAAATAAAGTTAGTTTAGTTTAGGTTTCCTCCTGTAGTAACACTGGATCAATAAGAGATGATCCTTACTGGACCTCTAGGGAGAACAGTTTAGAACTGATAAAGGTATCCAGTATAACTAAAGTTAGTTTAGTTCCGGTTTCCTCCTGTAGTAACACTGGATCAATGGAGATGATCCTTACTGGACCTCTGAGAAGAACAGTTTAGAACTGATAGAGCTATCCAGTATAAATAAAGTTAGTTTAGTTTGGGTTTCCTCCTGTAGGAACACTGGATCAATAAGAGATGATCCTTACTGGACCTCTAGGAAGAACAGTTGACAACTGATAGAGCTATCCAGTATAAATAAAGTTAGTTTAGTTTAGGTTTCCTCCTGTAGTAACACTGGAGCAATAAGAGGGACCTCTTGGGAGGACAGTTTAGAGCTGACAGAGGTATCGTATAAGAAACTTACTTGCTCTTAGGATGGGACTATGCACCCCTTCTCCATATTTAGTGACAGCGACAACTTGAAATGTATATGTAGCAAAATTTAGCAGACCACGCACGGTGTAGCTTAATGTCTTAGCATCAACATCAATGTGTCGCTGAGTCCCATACGCATCCAACATAGCATCTGAGATTATCCGTATTTTAATACGATAACCTGGAAAGATTAAAATAAATTATTAAATCATGCAGCAGAAAGTGGCCCCAGCAGTTGACACAAAACGTAAAAATCTCACAACTTGATGTGTTCAACAACAAGATGCGTTTGCAACAGGCTTGTAGCAAGCTTGTCAACAAGATGTGTTCGCAACAGGTTTGTGGCAAGCTTGTCAACAAGTTGTAACAATTTTATCAAGTTGCTACAAGGTTGTCACTCACAACTTGTTGAAAAATTGTTGAATTGCAGGACGATAACAAGTTGTTGGAACAACTTGTAACAAGTCTGTTAAGCCCAACAACCTTGTAGCAAGTTGTCAACAAGCTGGGAACAAGCAGTGCGAACACATCCTGTTGACAAGTTGTTGGAACAGCATTGCTACAAGTCTGCTGTAGGTTTGTTAAAACTGGTGCGTTTTTACGTGTGTATATAGAGGCAAATACGTATCAATATTTCTGCACAATCCGCTGACAAACGCGTAAATCTCAGACAAACTGACCTACAAGTATTCCATTAAGATATCCATCCGGTACAGGATGCCATGTCAGCGGTACCTCATGCATGTGGTACAAGTTGACAAGTTTGAAGCCAAGTGGTGATTTACTCGCAACTGTAAAACAAAAGATATGTAATCAGATTGAGCAGTGATTCACTAAATGATCTTGTGGTATTGAATCAGTTCTAAACTGTCCGTAATGAGGTCCGCAATACCAGCGATCCGCATATATACCAGTGGTCCGCAATATCCGGCCCTAGATTTCCACCGGCCCAAAAAAACAAAATGTCAGAATGTATATTGTCAAACAAAACATATTGCCAAACAAAATGTCAGAGTCTATATTGTCTATAGTATCTATACCAATCTATACCTATTTAATGTTCTACTTCTATCAGGGCCGCAGAGAGGGGGGGGGAGCAAATTGCCCCGGGTCCCGAGGTGCTGGGGGCCCCTGAAAAATTTTTGTTGGGCCCCAGTCTTTTTGTGTGTTAAATATTTCCGCGCAAAGGACAAGATATCTGTTTTCTTGGGCTAAGTACCGAAATTTGGCATAAAAAAATGAGATAAAGTCCGGCTCGAAAGCAATTGCAACGTACTCGACGGGAAAAATTTTTTACTCCGGAAAAAAACTTTTTACCCCTAAAATGGTACACTGACCGAAAATTTTTTGGCGACGGGGGGGGAGGTTGTTCTCCGGAAAAAAATTTTAGAGGGGCCCCTAAAAAAAAATTTGCCCCGGGCCCCCGCCAATCTCCGGGCGGCCCTGACTTCTATGACAGTATGAGGGAGTAGATTGGCAACATGACTAACTGAAACATTTTCTAAGCGGAGGAACTGCAATATGAGTTTTATATGTCCGATCTAGCCGGAGAAATCGGATTTTTTCACAGCCACGGGCGAATTCGCATTTTGTGACCGGCCCTTAAAATAGTTTTGCCCCCGGCCCTGGAAAGGTTAATCCAGCCCGGGCCGGGTTTAAATCTAACTTCACCTACCGTCTTCATCAGTAGAAATAACGACTTCTTGGGATAACGGACCTTCTCCTTTCGACGTGAACGCCGTTATTTGAAATGTGTAGTTAGTGAACATAAGAAATCCGTCAAACATCGTCTCCAATTGGTCAGGCGCCATTGTTCTATTGAACGGTGGCATTAAAGGCAGGGTGGTTAGACGATAATACAGACGATATCCCAGCAGTATGCCATGAACAAACCCATCTTCCACTGGTCGCCATTTCACGAGCATTGCTGTTGAACTTAGATTGTGTCCACCCAGGTGTTGGGGACTCTTGCTCGGAACTAAAGATTGGAATAGAACAAGTAAACTTAAGATTAGATTGGGTTAAGCCTTGGAGAGTTGATGAAAGTTGAGAAGCGAGAGTTTGCATCAGAATTTTCTCAACTCTCATGCCCCAGTCAAACGAGAACAAGAGTTGCATGAGAGTTGATGAAAGTTGAGAAGCGAGAGTTTGCATCAGAATTTTCTCAACTCTCATGCCCCGGTCAAACGAGAACAAGAGTTACATGAGAGTTGATGAGAATTGAGAAGCGAGAGTTTACATCAGAGTTTTCTCAACTCTCATACCCCGGTCAAACGAGAACAAGAGTTTACATGAAAGTTTATGAGAGTTGAGAAGCGAGAGTTTGCATGAGAGTTTTATCAACTCTCATCCCCCGGTCAAACGAAAACAAGAGTTGCATGAGAGTTGATGAGAGTTGAGAAGTGAGAGTTTGCATGAGAGTTTTCTCAACTCTCATGCCCCGGTCAAACGAGAACAAGAACTTTTTTTTCACAATAATGCCTCTTCGTGAGCAGACGTGCTTTGTTGAGCTCTCTAAAATTTCAAAATTTTTGTAATACAATCCAATACAACACACTTGAATGGATGAAAAATTATATGAAAGACTATCCTGACGATTATTAGCGATTGAAAGTTGTTTATTCATTTGTACAATGAACAATATGGCAACCAGCTTAAGCGATAAGCTATGCATTTAATGGTCAGGTACTTATGAGTCTCTAAAACAGTTTGTAAGTGAAGATTTACAACTCAAAGGAACTTGGGAACAGCCTGGAGGTGATAGGAAGTTGTTTAGTTGTGATACATCAACTATACTATGGAGAAAGAATAAGGGATTGCTTTCCATCAATGGAGAAAATGCGACCGAAATCATGAGAGAGTTATGTAAACGGATGTGTAATTATCATGCAAATAATTCACAAGTATTTGCCTCAGCCCACACTCAACTATCAAATGAATTATGTGATGATGTGCATACGGATATTGAAGATCTAAAACTGGGTCAACAAATCAATGGCGAAGCAATCCAGTCTCTATC